AATAGAACCTCTATGAAAAATGTGAACTTGAGTTTTTATGCAAGTTTCTGCATTATACTCCCAACCAACATCAAGGGTCAGAATCTCACCTCAGTTATTAAACTGCCTTCTAGTGGTCAACAAGAGGTTAAGATTTCATTTCTGCTGCCAACTGGCTAAAAACCCATCAAGTGAAAGCAATTAGTGGAGTTGAAATGCCCAGGAATCATATTTTTTCTGCTGGCTACAAATAGAATATACTTTTTAATGATTATGCAGCATTGGTTCGAAACATTTTTAACACTGAAATTCAGTGTCTGCACACAGGAAGACCTAGACAACATTAGGCTTGGAACTGTTCCGAGGAAGGTCACCGGACCTGAAATGTTAACGCTGGAGGATTTTTTCTTCACAGACGCTGCAAGACCTGCTGAGCTTTTCCTGCAACTTCTGTTTTTGTTTCTGATTTACAGCATCCACAGTTCTTCTGGTTCACATTTAGGATTGAACTGATGTGTGGCATGAATTTTACTTTCTACCTAACTGCCAAGCAATGACTATCTCCAATATGTCGTATCACCCTCCCTGTATTTTCAGAAGATCAGTTACCAAAGCACCCATCAACATACTCTTGAATATGCCTACTGACCAGAACCTTAACTGGAGCTACCAAATAAGTACAGTAGAGACAAGCAAAGATCAAAAGCTGGGTATTCAGTGGCAACGGACTCCCCAAAGCCTTTTCACCATCTACAAGGCACCAACTGAGTGCAATTCCAAGAACACCGAAGCTTTACATATCCAGAATATCCCAGTATGACTGTACTCTATCTACTACTTCAAACATGCACTCCCTTCACCACTAGTGCATAATCAATTCAACAGGCATCTTCTGCAAAATACACTGCAACAAATCATTAAATCTCCTTGGAAAGCACCTTGAGAAATCTGCAGCCTCAACTATGTAACAAGAATAAGGATAGCTGGTGTATGAGAACTCCAAAGTCACATACCATCTTGTCTTGAAAATACAGTCACTATCCCATCGTTGCTGCTCAGTGAAAGGCTTTGAACTCTCAACTGAAATGTAGTCTGGAAGTACCTGCACCAGACAGACAAATTCAAGAAGGAAACATACCAGTATCTTCTCAAAGGCAATTAATGATGGGAATAAATGTTGGATAATGCCCATATCCCATAAACCTTTTTTTTTTGAAAAAGTCTTTTCGGAGGAGCAATCAACAACCAACTCCAATACAAAAAAAAGAGCAAAACATTATTTCCAGATGGCAACGATAGAAAGATATAAAAGGGCACAAGTTCAGACTACTGAAGGGTTAATTTAAAACAGAAAGGATGATCAACAATTTGATCAGTGTCCCAGGAAGGGATGAGACCAAGATATTGACTTTAAAGAATAGTGACTCGAGAGGAAGATTGATTTTTGCTTAAAAATATCAAACAGGGTGACACATGATTTTCTCGTAAAATCTATTTTTTGATCTGTAAAAGTATTAAAACAGATAAAATGTTCTGTGTTAATTGAAATAACCCATTGCTAGGAATGTCATTTATATAGTGTCAAGCAAATGCATATGACTATTTACTTCAACTTGCAATTTCAACATTCATTCAATCCAGCTGTCTTTTGCAGCCTATTGTATTAACATTGTGATCAACATTAAAAAAAAGTTGATCTATTGAAAATTCCTGATTGCAGTCTTTTAAAAGATTGTCTCAAAAACTTGAGCTTTATTAACATTGAAGACATTTTATTTACATCAGTTTCATTATAAATGCTACATGCAGTGAAGTCAAGATTACCAAGTTAAATAAAATATCAGCCCAGATCTTCTACAGCTAAATCACTGCAAGATTGACACTCACTGACCCCACATTGTTACATATTTCTCACCAGGTTGTCTGACCAATGCTTCTCCAAAAATACAGAGCACAGCACTCCATAACAGTGCAGTAGCTAGCTGTGGCAATAGCTATCATAAAAGGTACGCTTTAAGTTCCAATGTGAAGGTTAATGAATAGGTGAATGAATCAATATTAGTAAATAGTGGATGAAGAGCAAATGGAGAGGGTGGCAGGTGGGTAGAGTGGGTGACTGATTTAGGTCAGGAAGGGGCTCGGGTCGAGTGTTGGGTAGTTAAGGGTTAACACGGTAAGAAAGGATACTTGGTTTTGTTGTGATATCACTAAGAGGAAACATGCTCATGAGCAAGTAACCAGGATGTAGCACAGGTGATTAGCAGCCACTTATTTTAGACAGCAGCATACAGAGTCAAGGACTGCAGCTGTGTTTTTCTTCACTAATAGTTCCTAAACAACCCTGTATCATAAGTAACAGAACCCATGTCAATTTACCTACTGGGTATTCAAAAGGATAGTTGGGCGGAATCAGGGTAGGGTTGCTCAAGTGGGGAGAGCAAGTGACAATAATTGATGAATCAGTTCTGTAGTTACCAGGAGCCAGACTAGGTTTTAATCTAACATTTCCTGGCTAACTATTCATTTAAAGCTCCACAGCACTGTTCAAAGTCTCTGACTTTCAGAGGGTCCCAGGAACAGGTTAATTTCCCACCAGAAGTTTAAACTTCCTGGGTAAGTCCCCCAGACGTACTCCCTGGGGGGGGGTCAACACATACATCGCATGTCTGGCCTCCAATGATCCAGAGATGAGATGTGTTATGTGCAATGGATTGTACACTACCAGCACTGACAAGATATGAAAACATACAAAAATTGGTTATGAAAATGATTTGAAAGTGCAGATTGTACATACAACATTTTTAACACTGACTGACCACATAACCTGGACCACTAATTCATACGGATTGAACAAATCTACTTTCATTGTACAGGATTCCAGGACTTCTAAACTGATGTTCAAGTTCCTCAAATTTTTCTTTCAAAGCAACGCATTTAAAAAACCTTTTGTTGCAGCCTAGTTTAAAATTTAGTGAAAGCCTGGCAGTGAAATATCACAGGAACAGAAGTAGGCCATTCTGTCCATGAAGCCTGCACCATCAAGATTTTTATTGACTTGGAATTTCACCGTCTGCTGCAGTTGGATTTGAACCCACATTTCCAAAAAGTTGGCATGGGGTTCTACATTGCAAGGCCATGACATTACCACTTTGCCACCACCTCCCCCTGTGCCATCATTCAATACGGTCATGAATACTTCAATGTCTTTTACCCAAACCATCCCAATAACTGAAACACTCACCATGGCAACACCTGTACTAGGGTCCACTTGTCTACCAATCAGCACACTCATCCGAGACAGGATAAATGTCACTTTTCCCCTTAACTTGCTATTCTTTCAAACTGCTCTGATGAACACAAGATGAAAAGCTTTGACAATATTTTCTCAGCAAAATTCAATTTCTATACACCCAAACGACTAAATTTTATACAAAGTAGGTTGATTTTAATTGGTCAAGACATTGCCATGAGCAATGAACCAGGAGATGGCTGGAACCAATTTTGTCGGCAGTCTGCGTTTTCATCTCATACTTTTTCTGCAAAATAAAGTGCAAAGTTAACAAGTCTAATTATTGAAGGTCATTACTTATAAGTTTACCATGTGTCCTAAATTAAGAAATGTAATTTTTATTTTAACATTTTCTATGCAAAAACAGAATCCAGTCTTGGGAATGACATTCTGTTGTATTGAACACCGGACACAAACTTAAATCATGTCACTACCAGTAAGCATGTGACTTGAACAATCATTTTAGGGATCAAGAATATTCTATTTAAATGGATACCACTGCAAGAGAAACCACAGTAATAGACCTGCCTCTTGTCAACAGAGTGTGGAGCTGGAGGAACAGGAAAGTCGACATTTCGGGTCGGGACCCTTCATGAGGCCTGCCTCTTCGCAGTACTCGCTTCTTCAAAAAGTGTTAACGGCTTACAGTAACATGAACAAACAAGACATTTGACCTCATTACCCAACTATTTGCTTCCTTATAGTGTTGGAATTTTGATGTATAATGAGAAGTAGTTACAGCTCGAACTCACTATTAATGCTCCCAAACAATCAATTCCTGATGCTACCGAAATTTTTACAATGAGTTTCTCAGTAATACATGTTTTTCTTTCCCTCCTACTGCCAAGGTCAAATGAAATGCCAAATCCATGCAAATTCAAAAGTAAATTATCCAGCCACCCACCCCAAAACGAATGATGTAATGTTATAATTAACAATTGTTTAATAATACAACTACAGGAACAAAATGGGTAGTCATAAACAGTCACGTGACCATAGAATGGACAGTCACTGAATATCAAAATTTCTTCAGGCAATCTATTAGAAGAAAAAGAATGATGTGTAATTTGGACTAAACGAGCAGCACCACTACGCAACGCTCCTCAGGAAGCGACAGATGTGCAGCCATCAATTTTTCCACTCAAATTAATATACGGAAAATCAGTAGCTGCAAACCTGTATTAGTGCTGCCGACGAGCACTCAATCAGGAAACTGACCTTGTTAATTTGGATATTTGGGAAAAAAAAACAGGGAGAACAAAATCTGACCACAGTAAATGCAGGCCCAGTAACCTACCATCAATAACAGTAAACCAAAGTTAACCATTATGAAATGCAGGCTGGATCTATTAGGCAACAGCTTAGTATGAAATAGGCAACATGAATTCTGACAGGGGATTGTACAGCTTGATTGAGGAATTCCCAATGAAGTAACTCATTTGGACTTTTCGACAGTTCAACAACTTCCATGTGAAAAAAAATTGAAACAGAACAAAATAGAAGACTCCAGGACGGAATGTGTGTAGGGGTGAGGGAGAGAACAAGAGATACATCAATTGCATTAAGAAAGGAGAGGAAATTTCCTCAGGCCAAGTACACGTCTCACCCAAGAGATATGGAAACCAACTATAAACTTGGTAATATGCAAAACATACTGAGACATCAATAGGATAAATTCAACTGAAGGGTGGGGAAAGGAAGAATGTAGAACAAGCTTTCATTATGATCGTACCTGACATATCCTCAGAATATTCCAAATAATTTCACAATTAGCATTTATCAGAAACAATGGCAGAGTGATGTCAATGGATGAGTAATCCAGAACCCCAGATTAATGTACTGTAGACAATAAAAATCTGAAGTGAATAAAAAGATAACACGAACGGCAACCAAGTAACCACCGTCAATTGTCGGTTTGCTTAGCGAACTCCATCTGCTGGAGTTTCGCCCATTCATATAGCATAAAATTAGAAAGGGATATTGATAAACTATCAACTACACTGTCTACAATGCTGCCTAACTTTGTGTCAGCTAATTGGGATATATGACTTCCTATGCCAAGTCATTAATAAATGTGAATAACTGAGGCCCTAACATGGCTCCGTATGAGACGTCACCGGTCACATAAGAACAAGGACTAGGGGCAGGAGTAGGCCATCTGGCCCCTCGAGCCTGCCCCGCCATTTAATAAGATCATGGCTGATCTTTTTGAGACTCAGCTCCACTTACCCGCCCACTCACCATAACCCTTAATTCCTTTACTGTTCAAAAATTTATCTAGCCTTGCCTTAAAAACACTCAGCGAGGTAGCTTCAACCGCTTCACTGGGCAGAGAATTCCACAGATTCACAACCCTTTTGGTGAAGAAGTTCCTCCTGACCTCAGTCCTACATCAGCTTCCCTTTATTTTGAGGTGATGCCCTCTAGTGCTAGTTTCACCTGCTAGCGGAAACAACCTCCCTGCCTCCACCTTCTCTATTCCCTTCATAATCTTATATGTTTCTATAAGATCTCCCCTCATTCTTCTGAATTCCACTGAGTATAAGCCCAGTCTACTCAGTCTCTCCTCATAATCCAACCCTCTCAACTCTGGAATCAACCGAGTGAATCTCCTCTGCACTCCCTCCAGTGCTAGTATATCTCTTCTCAAGTAAGGAGACCAAAACTGCACACAGTACTCCAGGTGTGGCCTCACCAGGACCCTATACAGCTGCAGCATAGCCTCCCTGTTTTTAAACTCCATCCCTCTAGCAATGACAGACAAAATTCCATTTGCCTTTTTAATTACCTGCTGTACCCGCAATCCTACTTTTAGCGATTCATGCACAAGGACACCCAAGTCCCTCTGCACAGCAGCGTGCTGCAATCTTTTACCATTTAAAACATAGTCCATTTTGCTCTTCTTCCTACCAAAATGGATGACCTCACACTTATCAACATTGCACTCCATCTGCCAGACCTTTGCCCACTCACTTAGACTATCTATATCCCCCTGCAGACTTTCAGTGTCTTCTGCACACTTTGCTCTACCATTCACCTTAGTGTCATCTGCAAATTTTGACACACCACATTTAGTCCCCAACTCCAAATCATCTATGTAAATTGTAAACAATTGTGGTCCGAACACTGATCCCCGAGGCACACCACTAGCCACTGACCGCCAACCAGAAAAACACCTATTTACCCCTACTCTTTGCTTTCTACTGGTCAACCAATCCTCTATCCATGCCAACACATTACCTGTAATACCGTACAACTTTATCTTATGTAGCAGCCTTTGGTGTGGCACCTTGTCAAATGCCTTCTGGAAATCCAGACGATACACCACATCCACAGGTTCCCCATTGTCCACCATGCAAGTAATGTCCTCAAAGAATTCCACCGAACTCGTTAAACATGACCTACCCTTCATGAACCCATGCTGAGTGTTCCCAATGGGACAATTTATATCCAGATGTCTTGCTATTTCTTCCTTATTCACATCCTGCCAGTTTGAGTACCTACCCATTATCCCTATGTTCTATCATCTGCCACTCAACCAGTTTCCTCGCCATGTCATTAAGTCGCCTTCAGTTCAGTAGGCTTTTACCTCAAACTCGTGAGACTTCTTCAAATGGCTATGAAATCCATAAAAACCACCATCAACAGATATTCCCCTGTCCACTACTTTGGTCACGTCTTCAAAAAATTCAACAAAATCTGTCAGGCATGACCTACTTGTCACAAATCTGTTGGCTCTCCCTGACCAACTGAAAATTTGGAGATGTCCAGTTACCCCATCCTTGATTATAGACTCCAACAATTTCCCTACAACAGCTATTAGGCAAAGTGGCTTGTAATGCCCTGGTTTTCCTCTTTCACCCTTCTTACAGTGTGGAGTGACACAGGCAATTTTCCAATCCAGAAGTATAGCCTTGAGGGAAGAAAGGCTACCCTAACACAGCCTACATGCTGAGTCCAATGTATGATAATATCATTGGGCATCAGAAGCTCTAGACTCTTACATAGTTTAATGTTTTCTTTACTGTTAGCTACAGCTTTTCACTTTCTAGCCTCTAAAGTGAAGTGGAATTAGACTGGAGAAAATTAAGAATCCTCTGGGCCCAGGAATGCAAAACACTTCAAATGAGCAACAAAATCAGAAGCAGAACTGCAGTGGAGATGGTGAAAAGAGCAAGGGCAGAAACAGCAATAGTAAAGACTGCAATGGGTGGACAGAATAACAGTGAAGATCACAGAAGGAGATTATTAGCGTAGAAATTCATAGCAGTGATGAAGCCCATGCAAAGCAGCAGTGAGCAACAATGAAGTGAAACGACAAAATAGTGGAATCCAAAGATATCCCAAAACTCAAGCAGAACAGTCTTATAAGAAACGAAAGAAACAATTTCTTTATAAAAAGATTTGATCATTTGGTGCAAATTCTGTGTATGCAAATAATAAGTACTGTGACACTCAAATCAGCCCATCAAGTCTCAAACTCTGAAAAAGCATCCCATCCAGAACCAACCCCACACCCCATCCCTGCAACCCCACATTTACTATGGGTAATCCACCTAGCTCACGTGTCCCTGGAAGCATGGCCAATGCACCCAACCCGCACATCTTTGGACTGTGGGAGGAAACCGGAGCACCCAGCGGAAACCCATGCAGAAATGGAGAGAATGTGCAAACTGCACACGGTAGCCCGAGATTAAAATCAAACCTGGGTCCCTGGTGCTGAGAGGCAGCAATACTAACTACTGTGCCACTTTGCCATTGTTTAAATCTATTGGTGATTGTATCAGTTTCTTTCTATGAAAAGTTAGAATTCAAACTGATGGTTTACGTAAAACAATCTAACTTTTCAGAAAGTTACAGACGGGTCAGGAAATGAATCGTTTTAAATGGTTCCGCAAAGAGCAGTCTAGAATTGGAATTAAACTCTACAATGGAAAGGTAGACAAGTTCTTTTATCTACCCACTCAGTCTTATAGACATCCTCATTCCCATATCTCCAACAAGAAATTCAGGAAGAAAATGCGTCATAATCATTATCAAGGCTTATTACAAAGTACCAGAAATACTTGCTGCTATTTAAAAATAATTAGCCTGGCCAAATGCTGCTAATGTCAGATATAGACCACAATGATACAGCAGCTGTTTCTACAAAAACCTCACTGCCAGAGAGGCCAGCTTCAAAATAGGCGCCTGATGAAAGGTCATAGAGCTTTTACCATAAGCTTAGACAGGCAACAAAAAAAAATTGTATAACAAGTTTTGAGTTTTAGATTTTCAAAGTTCAAAGTTTTAAACTGTATGCTTAATCAGGAACAAAAACAGAAGTTGCTGGAAAACCTGAGCCAGCCTGGCAGCGACTGCGAAGAAACATGAAGTCTGATTTTTCGGGTCCAGAGACCCTTCCTCAGAATTGTTCCGAGGAAGGGTCAATGGACCCGAAACATCAAGTCTGATTTTTCTTCACAGATCATGCTAGGCCGGCTCAGCTTAGCTTTTCCAGCAACTTCTGTTTTTGTTCCCGATTTACAGCATCTGCAGTTCTTTCAGTTTTTATTTTGCTTAATTTAATGTCAAGCTGTCATTCATTCACTGGTTTTCCCCAGCGTTCAATAGTTTGGCGTAAGTGAATAGCTTGCGCTTTCATTTGAAATCCATAGAAACCCTACACTGTGGAAACAGGCCCTTCGGCCCAACAAGTCCACACCGACTTTGAGCATCCGGCCCAGGCCCATCCCCATATAACCCACCTAATCTAAACGGCCCTGAATACAATGGACAATTTAACATGGCCAATCCACCTATCCCTGCACATCTTTGGACTGTGGGCGGAAACCGGAGCACCCAGAGGTAACCCACGCAGACACGGGGAGAATGCGCAAACTCCACACAGACAGTCGCCTGACAGTGGAATCAAACCCGGGTCCCTGGTGCTTTGAGGCAGCAGTGCTAACCACTGAGCCACCGTGCTGCCAGAGACAAGCATATTTTCCACATTCAAACTCACTCCTATAAGATAACCAAGCAGATTGCCTTTCCAAACGGACACTTGTGAATCAGTTAGGTCTTCACAATCATTCAAGAACCCCACACTGAACCTTTTAAAAAAAAAAATGATTATGGAGTACAAATTCTCAACCCACCAATACAGACCATGCAACACGATCTCTGGATTATGACCCCAGTAACAATTAGGTTAGCACTGCATTACCCTGACTTAATGCCTAAACTGCTTTTCCTGACAACAGTTACGTCGAGGGTGTACAAGGTGTTAGTGAGGCCTCTTCTGTTAACCGTGTCCAGCTCCGGTCTCCCTGTTAAAGGAAAGATATTACTAAGCTGGAGAGGGTTCAGACGAGATTTACTAGGATGTTGCCAGGAATGGAGGGTTTGAGTTATAAGGAGAGGTAACCAAGAGAATTGATGAGGATAGGGCAGCGGAAATTGTCTATATGAACTTTAGTAAAGCCTTTGACAACGTCCCGCATGGTTAGGTTGCATGG